TATATATATATATATATATATATATATATATATATATATATATATAAAATTAGTTTTTCCGATATTCTGTGTGTGTGTTCTCTAGCTATAAAAATAAACCTATGCCATCTAACTCACGCAAAAGTAATGATCTCCTCACGTAGAAAATAAGGAAATTTATATGTATATCGTAAGTACATATTTTTCATACCAACTATCGTACGCATATCTCGATAGAATTAAAGGCAGAGCGGAGAGATACACATCTATACACATTCCCTCACAGTCTTATCGACATCTAACATCTAAGAGAAGTAAAAATAGATACAGAGGTGTACCAGTACTTATCGAACCAACAGTCGTCCCAGTTACCTACTTGTGATTAAAAAAGTGTCCTCTTCTCTATTTCCTTCTAGAGTAAACATGCGAGCTCCATTCATAAATCTCCTTTCACGGATCGAATTGGAATTCTAAGACTTACTATTCTTATAACAGACACATCGACTCTATCGGTTTGTACAAGTGTACTTTCAAGCTGGCTCAGAAATATTACGTTTAGATAGCGCAGAGAATTTTAAATCAAATGCACATAACGAGCATAACATGATAATTGATCGCAGTTATTTCTACTTTTTCGACGTTGTTTTCAGTTACGCGAGGCGTCGCATCGAGAGGAAATTTAACGCGATCATTATCACGTGTCACACATATGTGACGCATCGATTCTTGCCAGAAACCGACGTCACGATGTGTAACAGCAATCATTTTTCTCCCTATATTTACGTCAACATATCAAGTTTTAATTACTTTTATTTTTATCCAAGTAAAACAGGAAATCATAACGACGTCAAAATGACGAGAAAATGATCGAATTATGAATAAAAAATGAGTTTATAATTCCTTTTTCCTCATTTTGACATCGTTTTGTTATCGTGATTTTTTATAGTATCTAGTTTCCCAGATAAACAGTGGTAGAGAAAGTGTTAAGAGATATTTGAGTGTATTTTAGTGATTGTATATGAGACGTGTTGAAATGCTAAAAATCTGAGATTAAGTCGATTTCGAGAAAGAAATTACGCATCAGATTAATGTAACAAAAAAATGTTTTGACAGCCTCATCTTTTTTACGCGGAAAGGAGAATAGGTCGAACTGGAATGAGTATAAAGTCTACCTTAAGCAAAACGAGCACGACTGTTATTCTTAGATCATGTGACATAATCTGAGATAGAGAGAGAGAGAGAGAGAGAGAGAGAGAGAGAGAGAGAGAGAGAGAGAGAT